CTCACTTCTATCACCAAGACTGTACTTCCCAACTGCTGCCCCTTCCTCTGTGTTCCCAACCTTTGCATTCCAATGGCCAATAGTTATCAGTGCCTTTTGACTGCATGGTTGATCAATTTCAGACTAAAACATCGTATAATTCTTTATTTTCGGAATCACTATCTTAGTGGTTGGTGCATACATTTGAATGATAATTGTATTGATTGGATTTCCTTGTACAGGGGATAAGCATTATCCTATCACAGGCAGCATGGTACTTGAAGAGATCTTGGAATGGCCTTTTCATGATGAATGTAACCCGATTCCTCTTGATTGTGTTATTCCTGCCATAGTAAACCATATGATTGTCTGATTCAGCGTGCTCAATACCAGTCCATTTCAGCTCACTGTGTCTAGAATAATGATCTGTGTGTGTTCCATTTAAATTTGAATGGCTTCTAATTTTCCTAGATCCGTACTTTATACATCCCAAGTCCTAATTATTAATTGGTGTTTGCAGCTGTTTCTTCTCATTTTGAGTCCTGCCCCATCAACAGATGTAAGTCTGGAAGGCTTTACTCCTGCAGGCTTTAGCGCATCAGCGTCTCTATGGTCCACTCTACTCTGAGCAAGCAGATCTTCCTCAGTCACGCTGAAGGGTTCATCTTCTAGCACCATCTCCGACAATTCTCTGCTCCTGTTCATTAGGTCTTCGGGACCTCGCAGTGTCTCAGTGCTGTCCATAGGGTTCTCAGTGGCTACATCCTCGGGAGTGGACGGCGTATTTCTTCTTTGTAGTCCATGTTTAGTCTGGAAGCTCTGCTGAACCCCGTTCACTTTGGGTGACCCTGCTGGTGTTTGCAACACTAGTGATAAAGCGTTCCACATCACAGCAACATACAAGCCACCACAGTATGAGGAACTGACAGACAAATTGTAGGAAATAAGGAAACTAAAAAATATATATATAAAATAAAATTATATATATAAAATAAAATTATATATATATTAAAGAAAATTAAAACAAAAGCATGCTGCTTTGCTAAAAAATACATAGTTTGGAGATGTAGAAATTGCTGATATCCTTGAGAAAGACTTAGGAAGACCTTCCAGGTCAAATAAAGATTATGAGTATGATTGTAGCAGTATCTTCTTTTGTTTTTCGATGTGGAATTTTTATTGTTGGAGCATTTGCTAATAGCATTTTTTAAGTGTTTCATTGGTACATAATAAACATATCATATAATGTAGTAGCTCAATCATATTAAGAGCATCACCACAAACACTTTCAGGTCATTTTCTTCTTTCTCACACTCATTATGGTTAGCTCCTCACTCCCCTGCCCTCAACCTCCCCTGCCATGCCCTGAGGTAATTATTAATCAGTTACTGTCTCTATAGAATTAACCTATTCTGCATTCCATATACAGAAAATCATACAAAAGAAAAACAAGAAACAAACATATAGACACACAAACCCAGCAATAATGACAAACCAAAACAGAGAAAAATCTCAACCAAAAAGAAAGTAAAAAATATTAAACCCTGTAGTTTTTGAGACCCACTGAAAGCTACCTGGAGGAGCCCTGATGGTGGAGTGGCTACGAGTTGGACTGCGATCCACATGGTCAGCAGTTCGAAACCACCAGCAGCTCCAAAGGAGAAAGACTGGGCTGTCCACTGCCTTAAACAGTTAGCAGTCTCAGAAATCCACAGGGGTCTCTCAGAATTAGCATGGGCTCGATGCCAGTGAGATTGGTTTTGGTAAGCTACCCGAATGTGTGACTTGGGCTCGCTGACCCTCCTGGCTACCCTGTGCTGGTCACTGCCATGGATGAGGGAAGTTCTGGTGTTTTCAGTGGAGACCCTCCAACTGCCCTCCTGCTTCTGCCCTTTCTATAAAATACAACTTTCAGATGACATCAACAGATTTTTAAGTGTAGAAATCCTTCAAACAAGGATCAGGACACACGCATTGTGAGAAACCATAATACCTCACCCTTTATATGGATATTATTTTATGACTCTTTCAACCACTCTGTGATGGTATAAACACTATTGGTCCCATTGGTATATTAGTCCAATTATTTGTTCAAGGTCCCACAAAAGATCCAGGATTAGAAGCCAGAGTCTGTAGCTGCAAAGCCTGAGGTCTTTCCAAGCGTTGGAGTAAGACCACGCCATGAAGCTGTCCATAGCCCTGGAGGAGCCCAGGCTGAAGAGGGGGATGGGAGGGGGTGGGTGGGGTGGGGTGAGCAGGGACGTCAGGACAGCCATGACTCTCCAGGCCCATCTGGTACTGGGCAAACTTGGACCTTTCTGTATCTTTTCACCGTTTCCATCTCTTCCCAAGTCTCCTCCTGGCTGGCTTGCCCTCATTCTGCTCCCTGCTTATGATACTTATTTTTCCATTCACAGCAAAACAGTTCACATCAAGGTAATTGATGATGAGGCGTATGAGAAAAACAAGAATTACTTCATTGAGATGATGGGCCCCCGCATGGTGGATATGAGTTTTCAGAAAGGTGTAGTACCCTGTCCTCCACACTAACGTGAGCCTTTCCTCCTCCGAGTCTGTCTTTCTCCCAACGTCTGTCTCCGACTCTTCCTCGTTTCTCCCACTTCTCTAGTTCCCTTTCCTTTGTTTCTCCTCTTATTCATGCTTCTCCTCTGTTCTTTTCTCTCTCTTTCCATTTCTGTTTCCTCACTCTGCTCCCTAATCTATCCTAACAGCTGCCAGCCTGTCACATGGTATTGATAAGAGAGATGCTATGAACCAATGGTCAATTTATGGGATGGGGAAATGGGTAGAGACAAGGGAAGGAGAGAGAGACACACACACACAAACACACACACACACACACACACACACACACACACACACACACCAGCCAAAGACCTGAGAACATTGCTTTTGAGACCCTCTGCTTCTCCTGAATGGCTTTGCATTCAGCAAAGAAAAGGGCCAGGAAGCGTGGAACGAGGCAGGAGGCAGTACTAGGAAACCGACACGGTAGGTTCTTGGTACAAACTTCCATAGGCAGTTACTCTCAGGGCTAAGTTTATATTTCCTGTAAATTAAGAACCAATGTCTGAGTTTCTCTTCTATTCTTAGTTCATCCCACTGCCGCAAACAGGCTTAGGAGTCATCCAACCTGCCCCACCTCTACTAGCAAGGCACAACTCTCCACTGGACATTGATGGAGTTGAAAGTACAGGTTTGAGTTTCAGGTCTAAACCAAACCATCTGTGTTGTTCCCCAAAGTCCCCCAGGAAGAACAGAGGTGTAGAGGCAGCGAGTTAAGTCTGGTTAATGGGAAAGAGGAATCTGACCTGCATAGAACCGTCTTTGAAAAAGCCCCTCGGGTGCCTCAGAACATTTGCCTTCAGCTAAGTAACTAGTCAGGAGAACTTCCCTTTAGATCTGGCCGGGTGTGGGAGGGACTGACCCATCAATCATGTTCCTTCAGGCCACTGTCCTTCAGGCACCCCATCCCCATTCAGTTGTCTTCACAGCAGGAAAATATGGCAGGTCCACATCTTCGATAGAGTCCCGGGGCTCCAGATCCAGGGTCTGGAGAGAAAAGTCCTAGAGACTGCTTCTGGACAGGCAGTGAGCTTTGTCTTTTATCCACTGAGCAAAGCGAACAGACAGGAACCAAAAGTGGGAGAGGGCAAACATGTAACAGAGACACACGCACAATATATGCACACACACCCGTACATGCATCCTGTGCATAGCAGAGCCGGTGCCCGGTGAATCCTCTCTCTTGAGTCAATCACGTTACAGACAGTAAAGCCAAATCTCTTTTTAGAATATAAGAGGGAAGTTCCGAGGGGTCAAAGTAGACATTCTAGGCTTTCACGTTACCCTTCAGAGAGCATTTAGGGCCCAGGCCAAGGACGCATCTCTAAAATGTGATCACATCTCCTGAGTGTGCCCGCTGGTCACCACTGTGTCCCATGAAGCACCTGGAGAGGCTGCACAAGGAGAGCCAGTCCAGGTAGCCCCTTCCCCGTGTCGCTATGACCTGAGCCAGCCAGGGGCCAGTCTTTGGAGAGAAGCAATTTTCAGTGAAACTTGGCTTCCTGCAACATGACTTGGTTTTAAAAGACACTTTGCTTGGGGGAGGTATGCAGTAAACGGAAACAGACACCTCTATCACTTTGTCCCCCAGACTCACAATAATCAGTATTTAAGGAAGCCAGTCTCAGGACACCTGATAAAAGTAAGGAGGAGGTTTTCAATTTGATTTACATCATTTGGTTCACTTTTTTTTCCCAGGCATGCATAAGCTGCAAATATTAAAGGATACTTATATTGTGGTTAATATATGTTTATTTTACTTCCCATGACAGATGCCCGGTTAGATAAAGGATAAGAAAGATATTAGAATTCTGCCTTTCTCTCTCTCTCTCTCTCTCTCTCTCTGGTTTCTCTCCCTCATAAATTTAAAATGCCTTAAAATGATTTTCTTTATGAGACTCATAAGGGGAGGGGATATGGACACAAGGAGGGGAAACAGAGCTTGGCATCTGTTGACCACATTTTCTGTTGTGGAAGGGTCCTGAGCCCTTCCCAATGGACCAGCAATTTACCTGCGGCCCAAAGACTTGCCACTGCTACCATGTGACACCCAATGGAATGTGCTGCCCACCCCACGTCCTACTAACCATCAGCAGGCTCTAAAACAACTCCTCCCCACCATCACACATCCCATTCTTCCTTCCTGCCCATTCCCTCCCTGTCCTCCTGGCTCCCTGACTTTGCCCCCCATCTTTCTTTGCCTCCTGGATCCCTTTCCCTATCATAAGAACAACCAAGACCAAGGAGACAAGGAAAGCTAAGACCTTTTTTTTTTTTAAATGCAAGAGCAACACAATCCACCATAGTCCTGTCAGAAGTCACCGCGGCAGGACTGGGGTGCATGTGTCGAGAGTGATGGGGAATGGTTGGAAAGGCTGTGCTCCAGGTGACCGACCGACCCAGTCGACACCCTCTCTCTCTTGTTGTCCCTACAGGAAAACCCTCAGGGTTAAAATAGTAGATGAGGAGGAATACGAAAGGCAAGAGAATTTCTTCATTGTCCTTGGTGAACCGAAATGGATGGAACGTGGAATATCAGGTGTGAGATTCTTTAAAAAACATGAAAGAAAATTTTAATCAAACTGAAAAGCAACCGAAAAAGAAAAAAAGGAACTATATATTTTTTTATCTGCCCCCCTTTTCTTCCCTTCTCCTCCTTTCTCCTTTTGACTAGCAGACTTTTACATTCTTTTCCCTCCTGTATTCGCGCTCTCACCCTGTTTCGGTATCATCTCTGCCTTCTTAGCCTTAGCTTCATCCCAGTCCTCCTCTCCTACCTTCTGGGCAGTGCCTGGGCCCCAACACCTCATTACCCTAATGACTGAAGTCCTGTATTTTGCTCCTGTGATCCAATTGTCACTGCCCCCTGCACTTCCCTACTTGTCCCCCACCTCCTGTAACCCATATATATGAAAAGCTCCTTGGTGGGTGGGGAGGAGAAGAAAAAGAAAGGAATGTGGTGTGATGCATGCCCATGCCCCTTCCCTGCCTTCTTCCCCTCCCAGCCCTTCCCTCTGGAGCCTGGGTTGAATGCTGGGAGAAGGGGGGGGGGGGGGGGCGGGTTGGGGCTGGGGTGGGAGCCCCTATTGCAGTGATGCTTCAACCGTTTCCTGCTGTATTCCCAACTTCCATTGAGCGTTTGCCAGGCTAGTCCCTTGCAGAGCAGCGCATAGACCCCTCTGTGGAGGTAAGTGTCTCACCTGGGTATTTCGCAGTTGGGTAGACTACAACATGGGAAAGTATGCCAGTGGTCAGGGGCCCTCGAGAGAGCTGGCTTCTGAGAGAGTCGTGCAATCTAGAATCCTGAGGTATTCGACCACCCCCTTGGCGTTCCGCCCATCCCTTGCTCCCCTTGTTTCAACCCCAAGGCTGGCTACTTTGTTCACGCTACGTTGCGAAAATGCAACCTCTGGAGAGGACATTGAGAGTGTGCAGACGGAAAGAAATCATTCCAGCTGTGGAGAGCCCCGAGTCCGTGGGCTCTGGAAGACGGCTGGCATTGGCTAGGGCCGACATTGTGGGTGGGGGTTCTCCAGCAGGGGAGGCCCTCTCAGTGGTCTAGTTGGTGCTCGTTCCTGAGAGACACAGGTGTTGGGCAGCCTCTGAAGCCTGCCTATGCGTGGCACCCCCCACGGGCATACTGCCCAGATCCCAAGATAACCCGCATCAGACAAGTGGCCTCGCCATCACTTTCCCCCAGGATGGGCATCTTGGAAGACCTGCCAGGGACGCCTCTTAAGGAGCGGATTGCATTGTAGTCAGGACATGGAAGGAAAGACGTCTTCCTCTCAAGCAAGTGGTTGAACGTCAGAATTGGGGACGTGCAGGAAGAATAGGTGTAGGAATGGAAAGGAATACTCTTGGGAAATATCAGCTGGAGGGCATTCCCACTCCCCTTCAAGGGGGATACACGGCTGGGAGCCTCAGGAAACGGAAGCCGTGAATGCCACTTTTTGCCAACAAGGGACAGTCACACTGCAAATGCTTCCTGCTCATGTAACACGGGGCGGCAGCGTCAAGCCTTTTCCTCAAGGGGGAGCTGTGACAGATTCCGTAGCCACACATCCAGTCTTCTCTGCTCCAGGTTATTACTCAGTTCTCGTTGGCATCTGGGGATTTTCTGCCAAGCTGTTAAGTCCCGGGTCCTCGCTGGCTTGGACGCATCTGGTGATCTGAAAGCAGAAACCCTCTCCATCTTCCGTTGCTCAGCTTTCCCATGACCACATAAGAAACTGTACCATCAGTCAACTACCAAGGAATGCAGGAAGAAAGAGAAAACCCCTGGGTCTATTGCTTCTCAGATCAGATTCCTACTATTTCTCCTGTTCCTGCCACCGAGAATCATCTCAAAAATTGTCCTATTAACTGTGCTCTCTCATCCCTACTTCCCCTGTGCATTATTTGGCAGCTTCGGGATTGATTGAATACAACAGTCACCCAAGGTCATTGCAAGCCAGCTTTGTCAATTTCCTCCATGACACTGTAGGGTAGACGTCCGAACACACCAGCCAAACTGCACACGAACGATGAAGCCCTCTTCTACTACAAAGCTTTGCCGTCTCAGAAACCTTGTATACTAGGGTCACTACAAGCCAACTTCACCTTGGTGGCCGTGGGCAGTAGAAATAAATATTAGGTACAAATACAAGCAGCGTAGAGAATCTTATAAAGTGTGTCTGCCATGAGTCGGAATCAACTGCCATGGGCGGCTATGGCTTGGTTTTTGATTGGATCTGGAAAGGATCGAGAAGCCGTCTGCATTTTTATTGCCTCAATACACCCTCTGCCAACAGCAAGACAGAGACTGACCTAAGCGAAGCCTTGGGCCCTTCAAAGTATCGACAGAAGCAAAAACCTATGGCTACGCCACGCTCGAGGATACCTTCATTTCTGCAGTGGAATTCTTTGTTCAAGACGGTGTGCTCTAAGTCTTGGTAAAATCTAGGCCTAGAGGAGGAAAAGTGAGGGAGCAGACCAGGACTTTAGCAGGCAGTCTGTGTGGTAGGGCCTTATATCTGTCTGCTCAGTGACCAAGATACCAGGCTAGAAGGACCCACTAGAAATGTGTCAGTTTTATGGCCTCCTTCTCTGTCACCTGAGCCCGAGTGGCATAGAGGTTATGCAAAGTCATCAGTTTGAAACCACCAACCGCTCCATGGGTAAAAGACAACGCTTTCTACTCCTGTGAAAAGCATGAGCAGGCTCAGAAATTCATAGGGCAGTTCTACCCTGGCCAATAGGGTCACAAGGAGTCAGCATTGACTCGATCGCAGTTTTTGGTTATCTATCATCTATCGAGTCATTTTTCAATTTTTTAAGTTCTTCTCATATTTTGGCATTAGACTGTAGGTAAAAGTCTATGAAACCCGATAGTGTAGACTGGGAATCAAATGGAAATGCTACCCAATTTCCAGAATTCCCTGCTATTCTCAGAATGAGAGACAGCACAATGGAAATTGTTTTTCGTAGTCATTCGTGGGAAAGTCTCAGACTTTCAGAGTGGGAGTTTCTGTGCAGTCAAAATGACATTTGCATTTTTAAAAGAACAAGAAAAGAACTGAATTTGAAATGGGAGGTTCTAGACATGGCCAACAAAATCAACTTCAAAGTCGGGGGTTATAAGTTCTGGACAAGCCGGGAGGAGGGAAAAAAAAGACTGGAATGGAAAAAATAGCTGCCCTGGAATGGAGTGGGTCCTAGAAGCTAGAAGTAGATTCTGAAAGCAACACTGTGCAGTAGGGTTAAGGCTCTTGGAGCCTGGACAGAGGTGCTGAATTCCTCAGGTAGGAAAGGAAAGGAATGAAGCCTCTGTGTTGGCTCTATTTCCACATACACACACTCACTGCTCAGGTGTTTCCAGTTACTCACTGAGCCTCTGCTGGAGTATCTGAGCAGGGACCAATGACTCCCACCTGTCCCTGGCAGTCAATACAGGGGAAAGTTCAGCGCCAGCTTCTCCTAGCAAGAATAATGTCCATGGGGTATTGTGTCACTCAAAGTTGGCCTACCTGGATCTTCCCAACGCATCCGTCCTGGATTCATAGAAACAGTGAGCATGGTACAATCGCATCGGACTGTAAGCTAGGAACGGACTGGGTATTCTGAGTATAAAGCAGGCAGTACGGACCATTGGAGAAGAGCTTCCCCGTGTGGCCTCCTGGTGTGCTGGGATCTCAAGTCCTTGGAGGCCACTGGGGCTCTTCCTTGCGCCCCGTGGAAGGAGCAGAATGAATCAGCTCTCTGGCTCACTATGTACCTGTCTCAACCAAGTGAAACAACGGATCCATGGAGTCATGTTTTTTCCACCTTGAAAATCTAGGTGCGAGAGCCCAGACAGTATTCAACTCCAAGTTCTGGATCGACGTGTATCTAGCGGCTCTGAATATCAGGTTATGGGTAACAGACATGAGTTGCGTTCCTAGAGAATCTTAGACGACACCATTCACACATACCCTTGCCTTCTGCACAGGCTCCATCACCCAGCAGCCGCACCAGTAAGAGGGCAGCGTATTTCTAGACTTTGTGGATAAAAGCCAAAAAAGGAGGAGCTGCGCAAAATGCCATCCAAGTGTTAGTGTGACGTGCCATGAGAAAGGTGGATTTTAGTTCTTGGTCTCTCAAGTAGTTTATTGGAAATACAAATTCAAGGATTAGGAAAAAAAATTGGAGCTGGGCAACTCGTGTGGAGGACATCTTTAACTCAGCCTCCTAGTCCATAGAGGTACCTGGCCTTTGTTACCACGCTTCCGTGCACACCTTTCAGTGTGACAGTCTCTCCGGTTCAGTATATCTGGCCCATGACTGTGCCTGCCCTGTTGCGATAAAAGAGGCAGCACTTGTCGGGATGATGAAAAAGACAATTACCCAAATAGGCAACAAATACCCATCTTCATTGAAAACCCGCTAAGTGGAGGCACTTTGTTGAACACTGGGGATCCAGAATCATCCGCATTCATGGCCCCAGACCACCTGAATAGATCTATCGAAAAGAGGAATTTTCCAGGAAAACTTTTTCTACAACTTACCTTTTCAGTGAGTGTTTGTTGTTTTTTAAAGGAGACCTAGCGCAATGGACAACCTTGTAGCTAGGAAGTCAGTGTGGCCGGGGAACCTTATGGGCACCGGGTAGCTGACACGATCCACTACGAGTTTAGAAATAGAAGACGTGGAATCGGGCACTCTTCCTCTCTGGCACGCTACTATCAAGTGCTCTGAATTCCCATTCAAGTCCCATGGTCTCTTATTCACCCCCCTGAAAGCCAGCTACTCTTGTTCTAACCTACATAGTTGTCATGGTAACTGGATTTTCTCTCCTTCTCTACAGAATAGATAGGTTAAGCTGGAAGATCGCAAAGCTCTATCCACTTTGTTTCCAATCCTCAGTCCTCCATCCCTAGCCCTCGGGTCTCAGGGAAGATGTCCACAACGCTCGAGTAATTGCAGGGCAGGGCCTACGGTCACAGCAGCCTTGCCAGCAACTCGGGCCTCTTGCTGCTGCTGCGGCTACTGCTGTGCATGCTCTGAATGTTGCTGCCTTTTGCATGCAGCTGCATTGCTCTCCACAACTAGGCTCACCGCTTCCTTAAGCTGCCAGCACGCACAATGCCTAGGGGTACTTTTAAGATGGGTTCTTAATGGTCTCTCCTTTTCTTCCTTCCCCTTGTCTGGTATCCACTTGCAAACAGCGCTCCTGTTATCTCCAGGTAAGAGGTATCTAGCTCCCCCTTTAACACTTCTTGCCAGCACCATCAATTTGGCTTAAAAACCCATCAATGTCCTTAGATTGGTTTAATAGGAACTGTGGTTTGAGCGAACCTGACAAAGTCGCCTGAAGTCTGGGTTTTGTTTCCCATTTTTAAGGAATCATGAGGAAGTAGAAAATTCCTTGAGCATGACTTCTTTCAACAGATATGGTGACGTTCTGGCAGTTTCTTTCTAGGACAACGAACAAAAATTAAACTTATCAAAGAGATGGTAGATCAAGCTTCTCCTGCGTCTGGACTCATTTATCGGCTCATGTTGTGGAGAACGAGAGGATGAGAGTGAGGGCCAGAATCGACTAATAGAATTGTACTGGGATCTGGAAGAAAATACTTTGGTCTCCAGGGACCAAACAGCTCCTGTGAGAACTTGAAAAGCAATTCCCAAAGAATCTGGAATTTTACTGATCCTAGAGACCTTCCATCTTATCACAGCTAAGAACGAAATTACTAGAATTTTGGTTCATTCATCACTGGTCCTTGAAATCATATGTTTTATGAAAAATAAGAAGTAATAGGATGTTATGGTGAGTGGGACAATGTTCTTGCTGGTAAAAGAAATTTTAGGGAATTCATTTTGAACATATCTTCATAGAGAATCTATGTTCTGTGTAGGACATATACCTACTTTGGGAGTACAATTCCCTGTGTATAATGTAATCATAAACAACAGCCAACTTTGTGAGCAGTTAAGAAATCGTGTCCAGTGTATTCAGCAAAACTATTATGGAATGGGGTATCCAAGACTTTTCAGTATCTGTACGAAGACTGTCTTGCATTTCATCAATTCATTCAAAATTATTATTGACTGTCTTAAAAGTCATCTAAGAGGCCAAACATCTTACAGAGTTTAGTGTTATTCCAAGTCACCTACAGACTACTTCTTGGATTTAGGGAGTGAGTGCATTTGCCTCCTTGGAGATATATATATATATATCCCTTATGTCTTCCTATTTGAGGAATCAAAACTCCAGAGTCTTGATTTTCTAGCATTGGGTTTTGCCTGTTTACATCAGCCATCCTCTTACTTGAGAAAGTATTTGGGCTTCTTTGTTCCAACTCGTGTCATCTTCCACCAACCACATACACATAGCCACACCGCGATTCTTATAAAGAGTTACCTGATCAGAAACCCACAGGGGCAGCTCCTCTCTGCCCTGTAGGGTCACTGTGAGTTGGAAACGATTCAACGGCAGCGAATTGCTGTTCCTTGTACTTTTAATGCTTGCACAAATACCACGTTAAACTAAAATGAGAAAAGAGGATATATAATCCTAGATATTTTGATCTGTAAGTCTTTCATGTGGGGTTCCTTGATTAGGAACCCTTTTAAATCCACGGAACATCTCAGAGTCTTGTTCTGATGTTTCTGGGTGGAGAGGCAAACATGATGAACATTTTAGTGAGGAGTGGAGAGTAATAAGTTCATCATGAACCACACCACCGTGTTCAGAGGCTTGGGAATAAGGACACTGGCTGCATCCTTGGACCGCTGTCTGAGAATGTCTGTGGAGCTATTGTAACCTAGTCTGGTCTGCCTGGCGAGTTCTTGATTCTTTCAATATTTGTTCACCCTCTCATACTATTAATTAGTTGCTATTCTAATTTTCTCTTCCCCTCTTATTCCTGTATCTGAGGATTTGCTCAATGTGGTTGCACATCGATCTGAATATCAAGAACACATAAGATCATCCATCATTTAGTCTCTTAACTTGAAATTTTGAGGAGTCAGATAAACGAGTGGCCAGCGTCATCCTAATCTTTTAGATCTGACATGTATTATTCTTTCAACAAACTAACTTATGTGAATTTACAAGAATGTTTACCACAAAAATAAGCATGAGGCAGGAATTGCTGCCAAACCAAGACCCTAAATCAGTTGCTTTACAGGCAAATGAATCAATCATGTGGGTGGAGGGGAGGGAATACCTCTGTGGGGCTGTGGAAGATCTAAAAGTAATAGGATTGGTTATTTGTCAAAGAGATTTTTGCAGAAAATTAGATGGAAAAAATGTCAACACCCAGGTGGACATGCCAATAAGTGGATGACTAGCCTGCCAGAGGGATCTATAGTACCAAGTGATAGTTAGACCAGGGGTCAGGCGGGTACATTTCTATGTCACTGGGGTGCTCATGGTAGTGCCATAAGGTTCTTGTGGCACATGTAAAGTGTGACAGGGAGGAACTGGAGTGCGAAGGTTGGAATAATACTGTCACTGTGAGGAGAGACCTGGCAAGATGATGCCAAACCTGCAATGGGAGGACAGGAGAGTGCCTGTGCTTTTGTAGAACCCCTGTGTTTTTCTCAAATTGCTTCTCTCGGAATGACATATAGCTGACTTCTAAGATACCTGGTGTTATAGCCAAGCCCTATCTGCCCCCAGACTTATCTTCAGAATTAACTAATGCCACACTGAGATTCTATGGATTGAATGGGGTCAGGCTGATATAGGGTGTCTTCTGACGTGGAAATCCAAAGAATGACACAGATCCTTGAGAAATAAGGATATATATCTTCAAGGGAAGGTAGCACCACGGACAGCTCCCAAGAATCTTGGACTTGCCTTCTGTGCATGCAGGAAACATTGAGTGAAACAGCTGGTCTGGGATCCTCCACACACACGGTGACCATCTCCATTCAGACTGAGAAGATTCTTATATTAAGGTTTTCCGCTGGGTACCCTTGACTTACTGTCGTTTCAGTAAATTCCTTTCCTCGCCACCTCAGGTGCTCTACTGTCACCGCCTCCCTTGCATCACCAAGTCCCAAACTAGAGAAAACAGATCTTCTTGGCCTCTGCCTGACCCGTTTTGTCCTTGAGATTATTCAAAGATTAGAAGAATCCTTGGGGGGATTCACCGTATGGAATAAAAGCATTTGAGCTGAATAAAATAATTAATTTCACGTGAGAATGTGGACTTGGATGGAAAATTGTTTAAATGAGCTCTGAAAGAAACAGGCGGCCAAGAGCAATTTTCTAATCAAAGGGAAATAAAAAGATCCAATCTCTTGTTTCGCTCTAATCCTGAAAACACGTCTTCGTGGTGGAGTGGCCTTCAATTGGACCCAACAAGTGAAGGAGAACGTTTCTGCAGCTGTTCACCATGAGATGGCACCAATGGCAACGGAAACAAGATCCAGAGGGACAAGGCCGAACCTGGAGGCGAACTTGATGCTGCTTCGTTTTTGAGCACCCGTTTGTATTCCAAAGGAAATGTGCCTGTGGTTTTGTTTTTTTAATAGAAATCCTGTGGATTGTTCACTGGACACCATCGGGATTTGGGGGCATGGTTCCAAGTTTCTCATTGTGAGGATAACACTCACAGGGATGAAATGTAGATGTTTCTGGAACCGTTCCTCCTTTTGCTGCATAGATGGGATGATGCCAACACTTTTGGAAAAAGATGTCAATGGGAATCAGTAGATACTCTCTCTGGAGCAAGTGCGATTCTCTACTTCCTACCAAGAGCTATTACATTAAGTAGTGGAATTGGTTGGTCGTCATCCCTAGTGGCTCAAAGTAGTTAGAGGTCAAGAGATTTTACTTTTGTCCCCAATTTCTACACTATCACACCAATGGTGAGGACTTCGTTTGGCTTTTTTTTTTTTTTTGAAGACTGTTGGGTCAGGTTGCCCACCTAACGAATGCTTGTCCCGGGCCCCCAAGGATCCCCCTCCTGGTTTAATGGTCATAGAGTTCTCAGAAATTCTTAGGAAGAGGCACCAAAAGAGACACAAAGCTCCTATTCCCAAGTGCTATTAGCTTTGCCCCCACTGCCCACCCTTAATCTCTAAGCTTTAGATGGCTTGGAAATGGCAAGTCTGCTTTTGTGTTGTTGCAGAGAGGACAGACCGGAAGCTGACTGCGGAGGAAGAGGAGGCCAAGAGGATAGCAGAGATGGGAAAGCCAAGATTGGGTGAACACCCAAAACTAGAGGTCATCATTGAAGAGTCCTTTGAGTTCAAGGTCAGTCCATCAGTGAGGTCTAATCGAAGAATAGCACAATGGGAGGGAGGCAGAAGACGGGGGATGTTGTTCTACTTTCCCACTGACTATGTGAAGTGGGGACTGAATAAACCACTTACCCTACCCTGGGCCTCAGTTTCTCATTTGTACCATGGAATGAGTAATACTGGTCATTTGTACCTCAGAGGAATGCAGGAGGAAATAGACCATAGGATATGGAAACAAACTATCATCGTTATGAACTGTATCATCTTTACTGTATGTTTTCAAAAGAACAGTTCTAAAACCCACTACTACCGGACAAGATTTCTGTAGTGTGTTACTCCCATAATCTAATGTCCAAAATTAAAACCATAAGAAAGGAGGAAAATAATGTATTATAAGTTATTACCCAAGACCATTCCATGCAGAACATTTGGAACTCCTGTGAAGCATGCTGGGACATCGGGCCTCCGTTAGTCTTACAAAGCGCAAAACTCCCCAATGGTTCTGCGCATTCTAACCTCACAGCTCCAAGTTTTTCTCTCTCTGGCAGAGTACGGTGGACAAACTGATCAAGAAGACAAATCTGGCTTTGGTTGTGGGAACCCGTTCGTGGAGGGATCAGTTCTTGGAGGCCATCACTGTCAGTGCCGGTAAGAATGATCTCGAGAGGGGTCCCGACCCTGCGGGGGTTAGAGCAGGTCACCCCGAGCAGGGAAGAGCACAACTCGCGTGCCGGGGGAGGGTCCAGCCTTCCCAGCTCCACTCCTCGATGCTTGCCTATTTCCCAGGGTCCTCCTAGACACTGGGTCACTAAACCAGTGTCCATTGTTTTAGAGCTGATGCTACCTCTGATTTCAGATTTCGGTTCTTCTGTGTGAACTTGGATATTTATGCAGCATCTCTGAAACTCAGTTTCATCATGGAAAAAGGGGACGATTATTACCTTTCTGAGAATACTCTATTGTACTGAACCGAATCTGGTAACTTTCTGGGTTTCTTGGTGGTGCTATAATTATACCACAAGTGGACGGATTTAAAGAACAGAAATGAGTGTTCTCACAGCTCAAGAGCCTAGAAGTCTGAATTCAGGGCTTTCTCTCGGAGGGTTCTTGGGGCAGAGATACTTATCTCTATAACACTGGGGCTCTTTGGTCCTCTGGTCGTTTCCATGTGATACCTCTCTTGTTCCCATCAGCCCTTGCATCCCCGTGTCTAATGTGCTCTTTCTAGACCTCAAAAGTCCTTAGTTTGAAGACACACTCTATGCTGATGTTGCTGCATCCACATAACAAAGAGATCCTTATTCACAAATGGCAGTACAGTCACGGGTAGAGGGGTTGGGATTCCAGTATTTTGGGGGGGCCAGTTTGGGGAACATAATTCAATCCATGAAACTAACAAAATAAACAATGGCCATCAAGTCAATTCTGACTCATAGAGACCCTATAAGGCAGGGCAGAACAACCTTGTGGGTTTCAAGACTCTTTAAGAGAACAGAAAGCCTCATCTTTCTTTTGTGAAGCAGCTAACAGTTTCAAACTGCTGACCTTGCGCAGCCCACTACGCCACCAACCAAAAACCAGATTCGCTGCCATCAAGTTAATGCTGACTCATTCTGGGTTTCCGAGACTGTAACTGTTTAGGGCAGTAGAAGGCCCACTCGTTCTCCTGCAGAGCTGCTGGTAGTTTCGAACTGCTAACCATGGGGACCACAGCCTAATGTGTAACCACTATACCACACGGGCTCCTTAATTTACACCCTAACAGGTATCAAATAAGTACTCAATGAATTCTGGCTTCCATCGTTTCTTTCTCTCATTACTTCAGTCCCCTTTTCTGTAAAATGGGGCATAATCCCGATTTCCAGTTACAAAGATCAGGTGGTTATAAAGTGCCTAGTGCTGACTGCCTGCGAAACCCTTCACCTGGGTGATTCTAAGCTCTCCTTTGGCATGTGATGGGTCCCCACTGGTGACTCCCAGCATAGCTGGGAGCCCTGGAGGCCTACCGATGTAGAAGAATGAGGATGGAGAAATTCTCCCCACCACCAATGTTGCCTTCTCTACCACCAGCTCCCCTCGTCCTGACTCAATCAAGGCCAGAGAATGCTGCTACTGGCCTTGCCCTTTTTCAAACGAGGCTTTGTTGTCATAGCAACCCACAGGGTCAGATCCCTGAGGCTCTGGGCCAGAGCAAAAGTGCAGCCAGAAAGAGAGATTTGCTACTGTGTCCGCTCCTGCTGATGTCCCACTTTTCACATTACCTGCTTTGGATCCTCCTGGCTTTCCCCTCCGATAAGCTGACTGCGCCCCCAAAGACGCACTGACAGAATGTAGGCCCTAACCTCCCCCCTCCACAAACGAAGGCTCAGAGCTGTGTTTTGTCAGCGAGGGGTCATGTGCCTCCAGGTGCAGACTTGCTTCGTGGCAGTGCTGTAATTAGAACCCAAGGGTCCTGACTGCTGCTCTTTGGAAGAAATCTGCCACCAATGGTGGCAGAGATTGCCCTCAACAAAGCCC